TCCTAGCTCAATTGTCAAGCTTCCTTGCTCTCCTCACTGAGAGCCCCTGTGGCTCTGTGTCCTGCCCACCCCCACCCCCCATACCACCACCCCTCTCTGCTTTAGGAACAAGATTATCACAGTGCAGCCTTGTGAATCAATTTTCTGTATGTGCTGATGAAAGTGTAATGCATTCTTTAATCAGGCAGCCTCGCCGCTGCAGGCTCCATGCTGGAAAACATCTCGTTCCCACCACCACCACCCCATCACTTTGGGAAATGATCCCTCCAGAAAGGACTTTTAGAGGAGAGCTGGAAGGAGAGAGCTGGCGGCCGGCCTGGCACTGCGCTTTTCCAGCAGGGGGCACCTGTGGGGGTGACACGAAGGCGCCTCTGCTGGGGAGGCCATCCACCGCAGGCCAGGCCTGCAGGGATTGCTGAGCCTGGTGCCTGTCACAGGTGCCTTCCAGGCTTGCTGCCTCTAGACCCTGGGGCCACTGCTTAGGAGTGAGCAGGTGCGGATCCTTGCATCTTGACAGGCTGCCTGAAGTCCTCCCCTCCATGAGCAGGAACCAGTTGAACCTGCATATGGAATGCAAGCTTGGGTTGCCGAGAACCTGCGGGGGCCGAGAGGAGCCAGCCTCCTGGCTTTGTAAGGACACAAGCGTGTCTTCCTCATCTAAGCTTGTTGAGATTGGGTGGATATGTCCATTTGGCCACACCACACACAGTTTAGGTGGTGTGAGGAGGTCCAGTCCTGCCAAGTGGCTCCCTCTCCTGCCCTTTCACAGCACGGTGGCTGTCACAATCAACTGGCAGTTTGATGGAGAAATGGGCAGGAGGAGAGATGACTCTGCCAAGCTGGCATCTGTCAGTGCTGAGCAAGAAGAGGAGGCCAGGCCCAACGGGTCGATCACAGCCCCCGTAAGACAAAAACCAAGCCATATAGGTCTGCAGCAGAGAAAGAGAAGGAAGCTTGCCTCCTCAGAATGGAACTGGATTAGTGACAGACTTGAACAGCCGGTTCAGCCACGGGAGAACTTAATTCCTTCTGTATTATTCACACAGCTGATTTTAATCAGATGTGAACAGACAGCTGGAAGAGAGAAGCGGTCAGCCCAGGGCCTGGTGAGGAGGCTGCACGTTCTTCTCGTCATCCTCAGGGAGCCGGCAAGGGCATGTGGGTTGGAGGCTTCAGGCAGGGCCCGTGGTGTTTATAGCTCCCCCAAGAAGTGGGCATGACCGCCAGGCTCCCGTGGCAGGCCCGTGTCTGGATTCAGTGTGAGTTTGGGACAGTGCATGCTACACACGGTCACACCAGTCACAACCAGGCAGAGCTCTGTCTGCTCGTCCTTGGAAGGATTCAGAGAAGGTCCAGGTTCGGCCGGTCCCAGAACCGTGCAGCCTTTATCTGTGAGACCTGGCTTGTCCGCACCCTGGGGCTTTTCTCCTTCACCACCTACACAAATTCGGAGACCTTTACCTGGACCACCTGGGAGATACACCGTGGCACTGTGCTTGCAGAGGCCACATGCGGTGGACCTGGGGAGTTTCCCTCCCTCCTGGGGGCACTGCCCCTCCTGCCCCCACCCCCGCCCAAGCAGGTCAGGTTTGAGGGGGCTGGAAGGGCATCACTGGATCACCCACGGAGAGCAGAATGGTGGGGGGCTCTGGAGACTGGCTTCAGTTCTCACAGTGTGACATGCAGAATGCGAGGGCCTTAGTCAGGTCGTGTCTCTGGTACCTGTGCTGTGCTGTGGGAGAGAGCCAAGCCGGCCGCTGGGCAGGAAGACGGGCTCGTGCACCTGGAGGTAGGAGAGGACAGTGGGGAAATCAGGACACTTGCTGGCTGGTTTTCGTGAGTGTATGAAGACCTACAGAGGCAGTGTATCTCAAGAAGGGCTGGTTTTGTGCCATTTCCTGTAAGCCTCCCCTTCTTTTCTATGAACACCTCCTGCCTATAGCTGTACTGTGAATATGACCGTTTGTGAGCTCTCTAGAGAAACAGCCGGTGGTGGCAGATCCCCCAGCTGAGGGGAGCTGCCCAGTGGAGGTGCGCAGCTGAGCCAGGTGTGGGTGCAGCTGGCAGATGTCTCCAGTGCTGGGAGGGGAAGACCTAACCAGGAGGGAAAGCCCAAGGCTTCTCCTTGCAGACCCTCCCCACTGCCTGCCTCCCCCACTGGCCGTGCTGCCGCACTAGCAGAGCGCTGCCTGGCTTGGGGACATTCCGATGTCTCGGATAGGGTGCTGCCCAGGCAGGAGCAGGCAGAGGCCGCGGCGGGCGCTGACGGGTTCCAGAAGCGGGCAGTCTGCTTGCACAGTAATTTCCTCTGACAACAGGGTTCCTGGTGGAACTGGAACCACCAGGAATGGTACAGTAGGGTAAGGGTGGAGGCAGGGGCAACAAGTCTGCCTGTGGCCGGAGGCAGGAGGCTCCCAGTGCCCTCGGCGTCAGCGGCCATGAGGACCGCCTCTGCGCAGTGGGCCTGCCTGCCGCTCTGGCGGCCTGGTGCCGCGTGAAGGCCTGGGGACACTCTCCTGGTGCCGAGGCTGCACGTGTGCAGTGCTCTCCTCCGTGCACACGCCCAGAGCATTTGACTTCATTCTGCATCTGTCCCCAGGCTGGGGTACAGCTTCTCTGGGTAGTTAAGAGGTCAGGCTGGGCCACTGGTGTGGGAGGAGACCCGGGGAAGCGTCCTGCCCACTTGAAGAGGGCTTTGCCTCCCCACAAGCACATGCCGAGTAACTGGGGTCTGGTTCTGGCAGAGCTGCCAAAACCCTCCCCTGGCACCTTGAGGGGACGGCCAGCACCCAAGTCTGGTAGAGGATCCAGGAATTCTTGGAGCCAACATTGTACAAATGGGCAGAAGGCTGCTCTCAGAGGCCCCCACAGCCTGTGCTCCCGCCTGGGGAAGTGGCCAGGCCTCTTGGGGGGCATCTGCAGGCCCTGCCTGGGAGACCATGCGGGCCAGCACCACCCGTGCCCCTGCCTTCTCCTGCACCCCCTTCTAACCTGCACTCTGCCCTCCTGCCCACTGGGAGGAGAGGAGCCCCAGCTGGGGTTGGGGAAGAACGTTAGTAATGACAGCTGTTGAGGTGTTCCAGGCATGGTGCTGAGCACATCCCAGGTACTCTACATGGCACCCTGTGAGGAAGGGGCTGCCACCACCAGGCTTCATGGTGGGGAGCTGAGGCCAGAGCAAGTTAGCCGCCTGCCCAGCACGACCCAGCTGGCTTTGGGTGGGGCAGTCTGGCTGTGCCTGTGTGTGAGCCGGTGCACAGGAGGGCTGTGGCAGGGTCCTGTGCCCTGCAGGTCCCCTGTCCCCTGAGGAGCCCACCTGAAGTCTTCTCGAGGAGTGTGGGACAAACCTGGCATTGGGTTTCACACCTTTTGATTTAAACTCCCCCAGGAGGGTTTTTGTCCCAGTAATTCTCTGGCACTCGCTCTTTCCCGGGCAGCATCCTGGTTCCCGTTGCCACAGAGCACTTAGCCCACAGCCCTTCTCCCCTGATGCATTTGGGGAGAAACCCACCCGCACTCGGCTCCCGTCTAGAGGGAGTTCCTTTTCAGCAAAGAAGTGGGTGCTCTCTCCATTCCCATTAGACTGGGCTCTCAGAGGGCTTCTGAAATTGGTTCCACTAAAGAAAACAGCTCAGATGCCTCCCTGCATTCAGCTTGTTAGTCGGGAACTTCAAGGCCAAAAGATTTGGCAGGATTCAAAGAGCCAGCTCTCCAGCTGTCTCATTCTGAGCGGGCGCTGCCTGTCTTTGACAGGGAAGTGGTTGTTTTAGAGACTCTCCCCGCCACCCTGCCCTTTGGAGAACCACACATACACCAGGACTGTTTGGGCTCAGAGCCTGCTGGAGGTTGGGGGAATGGGTCAGACCATCTGGCCTGTCCCTGGAGTTTAACTCCAGAGGAAAGAGGCTCAGAAAGGTCAAGGGTGTCCACTGAGGCCACCCAGTGACCTGCTGGCAGAGGAGGGTTAGTTGCCTGGGCCTTCTTTGCATCTCACTGTTTCGTTATCATCATATTCCTCATCTTATTCACTCAACAAACATTGTCTGAGCTCCTCCTAGATGCAAAGCACTAAGCTAAATGGTTTGGGGACTATGAAGATGAACAGTTTGAACTCTGTGTCCCACCTCCCTGACAGCTCCCCTCTGCACAGTTCCAGAACTGGAGGTGGAACACACCATTCTCACCCAAGTAGTTGATTCCAGGAGTAGAGCAGGGCACTGGGAGGGTGCCTGTGCCAGGTGCTTCTGTTTGGGGAGGTCCTGGGAAGTGGCCTACAGAGCTGGGCAGTTTGGGCCTCAGCAGTCCAGGAGGTTGCAGACTCAGGTGGCTTGCGTCCATGCCACGAGCTCGCCCCCACCCCCCCACCCCTCCAGCCCTTCCCGGCCCTGTGCCTCTCCGGGCAGTGTTCTTCCTGGGGAGGTCTTAGTGCTCTGGGCAGAGCAGCGGCCTCCCTGCTGGAAGCAGCCCCACTGAGAAAGCCTGCAGCCTCCCAGCTGCCAGCTCACAGGCAGGTCTGCTGCGGGACCACCTGGGGGACCAGCAGCAGCAGGACAAGCTCTTCTTCATCTGACATAAGCCAGCCTCGCATGAGGCCATGTCACCTTGGCCTGTGGCATCCTAGGCTGGCACTGCAGACAGCATGCCACGGAGGCATCTTAGAGTCCCTTTCGTGGAAGGAAATGTGAGAATATAAAATGTCAGGGGTCTCCTCCTGCCCTTGGGGAAAAGGTGATGGCATTGATGACATTCTCCTGCTGACGTGCTTCTGCCCACCAGCCATCACTCTCGGCATGTCCTCATTTGTCACCTCCTAATTTGAGCTCTTGGGCAAACCTGGAAACTTATTTGGGATTGACCACTGGCTTCTTGGACATCTATTTGGATGGTGTTCCCCGTCACTCCCGAGCACCCCTGCGGTTAGCCCACAGGCAGGACGGCGTCCTGCTGTGAAAGAGCACAAGTCCAGTCCCCCTTTCAACTTTTTCTCTGCTTCCTTGCAGCTCACCCTGCAGAGCGCCAAGTCCCGAGTGGCCTTCTTTGAAGAGCTGTAGCAGGTGCCCGGCCACCCCAGCATCTGCCACTTCTCCCTGCACCGGTGGGATGGGTCAGGCACCGTGGGAGTCACCTGTAGGTGGGCTGGCCGGGAGCTTCTGGAGGAGCTCTGGAACTTTCCCCAGCTGGGTGGAGAGAGCCCAAGCCCCTGTATGTGCAATTGCCTTGAACTGTGACCTGCAGAGATTCTTCTCAGGGCATTCTAGTTCTCCTGACCTGAGTCTCTAAGGTTTCTAAGAAGTATTTGTCTTTCCTCATCTAATGTGGGATCCCATATTTCCTTCATCATAGGCACCCTGGGGGGAGTGTCTTACTGTCCAGTGCTGACCTCCCCGGCCCAGGCTGGGAAGTGGTCATAGGGAGTGAAGTGCACAGGCCCTTTGGAGACAGGCCGGTGCTACACCCCCTCCACCCTGCCCAGGGTTCCAGAACATTCATCCCCCTCTCCTGGGCCAGCGTAGTCTGCTGCCAGCCTGTCTGCTGCATGGCATCAGTGAGCTTGCCCACAGCTCATGGCGAGCCAAGTAATGGGGCCTCAGCCCAGGCCCTCCCTGAGACAGGGCTCTGCCTGCCAGCTGGTGGGGCCTGGGAGAGGCCCTGCCAGTGGGACAAGGCCTGGGGCAGAGCCCGTGATAAAGGGCTGGCTGCCAGCAGCGGGGCCGGGAGGCCAGCAGGGCCGCGCAGGAACTTGCACCGCACAGACCACTGGCTGCCCTCCTCCTGCCACCCCAGACGGGGGCCCAGGACCAGTGGGGCCGGGTGTACCCCCATTCCCCCCACCTCAGCCTTAGCATCTCCTGCCTGTGGCAGGCTGGGGCCCTCCCTGGTCACGCTCTAGTCAGTACCTGGTAGCCCAGCCGTGACCAGTGGCTCTGTCGGGCTTGGGGCCCCAGTGTGCATTGCTGGCCTGAGCACCTGCCTCACAGCCACAGGCAGCCTTTCCTAATCCATTATTGTACCTGGGCCTCCTTTGGCTGTTGCCCTCGTCCCCCACAGGGCCACATGGGGTCCCTTTGTGCCCCTCCCAGCACAAGCCAAGTGTCCACTCACAGTGTGTGCACGGGTCCCCACCACGCCTCCTTGCAGTGGTAGGTCGCAGAATTCCCCCCACGGCCCACACACGCCCCTCAGCTCAGGGCCACTTTCTCACCTTTTCTCCATGGCTCACTGGTGCCGCTGTGATCCACTGGGCTATTCACATGCTTCCAATAGGCTGTGATGCAGAGCAGGTGATAACTCTTGACCAGTGAAAAGGTGCTAATTAATTGAAGACACGTGAGGGCCTGGAGATTTCCCAAGAGCTGTGCGGGTCTCTGGAGATCTTATGTGGTCTTGAGAAACAGCTCATGGGGCACCTGCCGTTTTTCTGCAGTCAGGCTGACCTAATGGTGTCCTGGGCTGGCTTCCGCATTCCTGGGCCACTGTGCCCTAAGGTCAGGCCTGTGTGACACCCCAGCCCCGGAGGGCATGACGGTGGACTCTGCATCTGGACACTAAGCATGGATGGCTGTGGCTGAAAGCATTTCCCCGTGTGTGTCTGGCCCTCAAAGGCCTCTTCCCTGAGACACCGTCCCAGCAGGGGTCAGGGGTCAGGCACTGACAGAGGATCTGGCTCTTGTTTGAGGGCCTGTCTCCTTGGGCTTACTACCTGTCCTTGAATTTCCACGAGTTGCTTTCCTCCTGATCTTTACATTTCACCTGTGACAGTGGCCATGGGCATAGGAGCATAGAGGTGGTTTATAAAACCATCCACAGGCTTTGGTTTTTTTGGGTTTTTTAAATCTTTTTTTTAATTTAACTCCTGTGTGTATGTCTGAAGTCTGGGAAATGCAAGCTGTGTGACCACAGGTGAGCCGTGGCGTGGAGCAGCCTCGGGCCGGGGAGCAGACTGAGGGCTGGCGGAGTCTCGCTCGGCCAGGAGCACTTCACCCCCCTTGGAGGCAGGAGCTGGCAGGCGTCTCCCAAAGATGGGCAGGTGGGGAGGATGGTGGCCCTCAGGAAGGTCTGGAGTCCTGGTGGAAGGAGAACGAGTGAGAGAGGAAATTGTTTTTCAGAGATGTGTGCCTGTGGCTGAAGGGGGCTGTGTTCTTTTTAAGTGAACATTTTTAGGGCATGGGAGCTTGTCAAGTAAGACCTCTGAACTCGCTTGCGAGCAGGGCCCTGGCCGTGATCACTTCATCACAAGGGCCTCTGACGGTTCTGGGCAGAAGCACCGCTCAGTCACTGCCCCGCTCGCGACGCTCCGCGAGGCTGTGCTGCCGGCCCTCAGCTGTCCCGCACAGACCCCATTCGTCCCGACTGAGGCCCCACCGCGGCCGCTGTACTCTGGTGTCCACTCGCTCACACACCCTCCAGGCCCTTCTGGACACACTCTGTGGCCTTACGTGACACTTCCTGACTGACCGGGTTTTGTAATCTTGGGGACAGGTTTCTCTCTCTCCCTCTCTTTTCTCTTTTAAATCAAAACGGCAAGTCCAGAGGCTGACAACCAGCAAGGCAGGGCTGGAGGGGGCGGCGTTGGCAGGCAGACAGCCTCTCCCAGCTGCCCTGGGGCCACGTGGGCCCCTCGTGGGCGTCCAGGGCAGCTCCTTCCATTTTCAAATACGCCAAACCGCACTTCTTCCTGAGGGCCTGAGTTTACCTCCTGTCAGGGCCAGACCATGGAAGGCTATTTTCTATTCTGGTGGATTGTTGTAATTTAAATGATTGTTTTAATAAAAATTATAAGCTGTAAGGTGTTTGTCTTGAGCTTCCTCTGTTTGTTTGTTGCTCCAGCCATTCGGGTGGCAAGACAGGGTGGGCGGCGGGGCCGCCTCTTCTGGGCTTTGCAGAAACAGGGCTTCTGACCTCCTTGACTGCCTAGGACTTCAACTCCAGCCTGTGTCTTTGGTAGTAAAGGCTCACCTTTTCCAGGCTGTTGACAGCACCCCTCTCCATACCTTCACCTGGGCCCCCCTTCCCTCTTCCCACGGGACATCAGGGTTGTAGCAGGGGCCTGGACCTCTTTCCTTGCCTCCTGCCTGTCTCACATTCCAGACCTGCACACCAGGGTGGTGCTGGGCTGGGCAGCCTCCCCAGGTGCTTCTGCTCTGAGGGTTCTCCATTTCTGAGCTCGGAGGAGGGTGTGGGACCATGCAAAGCCACTAGGGTCCCAGGCACTGTCTGCAGGACAGTAAGGCCCAGCTTATTGTCACAGGGCCACACGACATTCACACTAGAAGTTGGGAACTCCCATGACAGAGCTTATGGTCTTTTGTTTTCTTTTTTTTAATTAATAAAGTTCTTTATTAAGACCAAACTACCACAGGATAACTATGTCCCGAATTATGCAGCCCAAACTCAAAGATTCGGGGAGCACAGTATGTTATCAGGGCTGCTAAGAGGCCGCGGTGCAGCCTGCTATGTGTCAGAATACGTTTCAGGTCTCCATTGTGCAGCCAACAAGGAAAATAGCCTATCAAAACACAAAAACCTCTAAGCGTCTGAGTTAAATATAACTAGTGTTTTATATATTTTGTTTTATATGAATATATATGTTTGAAGTAAAATTAGAAAATTGTAAAAGTTGTAAAAAGTTTTGTTTTAATTCATAGAATTAATAACTAATTAGACTTTATATTAGGTAAGTAATAAGGTGACAGTGCTTCATCTCTTATTTTCAGTGATTGGAAATCATTTGATTTCCTATGTAGTGTGAGCCACAGAAAGTACCCGAAGCTGTCCAGGCAGTATTTTTAACTGACATTCATGTTTAAAAGCTAAGCCCTGGTCCACATGCTCATACAGGTCCAGAGGTCTCCATGAGGTGGGGTTAGGCTACACTGATACTGCCTGGTATTTTGGTATCAGTGAATTCCACTCTGGTGTTTTGTTGCTGTTGTGTTTCTGGTTTGTTTTGACTGTGCTGTAAGCCCAGAGCTGCTGGCCGGACCTCAGTGCCTCATGGAGCGCCAGCGGCCTGGCCCCACAGGACCCCCGAGCGGCTCTTGCTGGCTTCCCTGCCAGCACTTGGTCCTTCGCCTTTGGCCCCCGCCGGAGCGCCAAGTGCCTGGCAGCTGTTCCCAGGCTGCCCACCCGAGAAGCCTTCGCTTTGGAGCAGCGGATAGGGAGCCACCCACATATAACGACGAGCCGGCAGCAGGAGTCTGGGGGAAAGGTACTGGTGAGAAGATGGCAGCAACTGCATCTAATCCAATTTCTTTCCTGTCTGGGAAAGAAGTCGAGTCATCTAAACATTCTCCGTGTGCCTCAGCCCGGACCTCCGAGAGAGGCCCAGCGTGCCTCTCCCCTCCTGGGGTGGCGGGTCTCCCTGGCAGCCTGTCATTACTGCATTACGGCAGGAGGCTGCGGCCGCACCTCCAGCCCCACCAGGGGGTCGGGAGCCCCCTCAGAGGGAGACTGCCGTTCGTCAGTTCCACGAGGCCTGAGCTGACTCAGAGGGACCCCCGCCGTGTCCCGGTTCCCACATGATGCCCATTTCTTGCTGGAGTGGTAGCCCCAGAATAGCACCTGGCATGTTGCCTCTAAGCTGAAGAAATCAAGACATCTGAGGAGCTGCGCAGTCAGAGCAGCGAGAGCCGCCTCGCCCGTCCGCCCCGCTGCAGGCTCCCCCTGTGCCACCTGTTTCTCCTTTCCTGACGGGCCAGGTGCTTTGGTTCCCCAAACCTGTTTCCCCCTCTGGGAAGGGGGTTGACGGTGATGCCTCTGGGCACCTCCAGCATGGTGCCAGGATAACATGAACAGATGCGAAAAGTACTCCGGTCCCTGAGAAAAAAGAGTTGAGGATATGTAGCAGGACTGCCATTATTTACAAATAATAGAAGCAGAGCACACGCAGAGACATGCAGTGTTTTCACCCAGCCATGAGGAGAGCTGAGGGGCTCGGGGCCCTTCCTGACTTTGAGTCCAGGAAGACCTGGGTTCACAGCCCTGCCCAAGCACTTGCCTGACCCCTGTGCGACTTCAGGCAAGTCACCTAAGCTTCGGACATCGTAGTTTCTTCATCTAAAAGGGGAGTTTTATAGGGTTTGTGGGGTTGTTAATGCCCAGAAATCTCTAAACACAGCGTCTCTTGGAGAGGGTGGTGCTTTATCTGGATGCTTACGGAGGGTCGGGAAGGGGAGGAGGAGAGAGCAAAGAAAGCGGAGGGAAGAGTGGCAGTGACACGGCCCAGGGGGACCCACCTGCCTGCCGCCCCATGTGGGCCCCAACCCTCCACCTGCACCAGGAGCCCAATGAGCCTGCGTCTGGCCTGTTTGCCCGGTGTCAGCTGCAGAGCCCAGGAGATGACAGATAGCACGGGCGGGGCTGCTTGTAAAGGACATTCTGGCTTTGTCACATTAGTACCTTCTCCTTCGGTCAATAATTTACCACAGTCTTGGGGTGGGCGAGGAGCTGGGTGGGCAGGGCTCAGCTCTTCCCTGATCCCTTGGGTACCTGGACCAAAATGCCAGCCACAGATACCAGGGAGGCACAGCGGTGACCTAATTTTCTCTTACCAGGCATAAGGGAAGAAGTCCCCATGGAGTCTTGCCCATTTCCAATATAAATAACATAATTCCCCCGCCTGCCGGCTCTGGGAGGAAGGGGCAGCCGTTGATCTAAAGGCATTAAGTCAGTAAACAACAGAGAAGAAGGCTGTAGAGGTCCCATTATGGGCACCTGCTGTGGCATTTGCCCTGAGAGAGAGGAGTTAAATTCAGACAAGGGAACTGGACAGGGGACAGCCTCACTGCACCCACCCTCCCCCCAGACCTCCCTGAAGTCTCCCTTGGTCTCTGGCTGAGCCCCTGGCACACACCTGCCACAACCCAGCGCGTGCATGCATGGTGTCCCCTCACCCTGCCCAGCAGTGGCCCCGCTTGAGCCCTGCGTGGTTTTAGTGGAAGAGAACTCTGAGGGAAACGTGTGCAAAATCTGAGTGGCTCTGGACCGGGTAGCCAAGCCTGGACTCCCCAGGCCAGAGAAGGGCTACCCCTGCGGGAGGAAGGCCCCTGGGGCTGGCAGAGCCACCTGGGCTCGCCCCTCCGAGGCCACTACTTCAGGACTTGGGTTCCGGAGCACCAGCTCTCTGCTCCCTAGCTGTGTGGCCTTGAGAAAGCACCTTCCACACTCTGGGCTTCAGTGTCCTTGGCCAGAAAGGGTCAGGTTTAGACCAGAGGAACTCTGAGGGCCCTTCTGGTTCCCAGTGTTTGCATGTCGGGTTTCTAAAGGAGTTCCTCGGGCCGGTCTCCCAGGTCCCGTGTCACCCTCCAGGAAGCCGAAAGGGGGCAGCTGACCCAGGATCCCGCAGCGGCGGCTACAGCCACGAGCCGGACTAGAACCAGGTACTCTGCACAGCCAGCCAGCTGACCTGTCCCTCCTGGGCCCATACTCCTCGGGCACAGACTGGAACGTAGCATTGTGGGTAGTGTGACGGTAAAGCCCGAGTTAAAGGGCAGTGGGCGCCAGGACACAGGGCTGGCGTGGCCACTCCGGGCTTTCCTGCCGCCGCCTCCAGAGCAGTGAGCCCAGCTCCTCGCCAGCCTGGGCAGAGGGGAGGCGGGAGCCTGGGGGTCGGCCAGGCCTGCTGCGATGGACGCTCTGCCCTGAAGCCTGCGGAGGACCTCGCTTTTTTACCCATGACTGCACCCCTCCCCCAGGCTCTGCTCCCAGCCTGCGTTCCTGAGACTGAATCTGTTAAAGTCCTTCCCATTAGCCAGCAAAGGGGGAAACAGCTCTCTTTCATCTTAACTGGAGTGAATTTGCATTGACACCTGGGGAGTTCTGTTTGCCTTGAGAAAGCACATTGCTATTCTGAGCTGCACACGCGGAGTTCGTCGCAGTTCCCTATTCTTTTATTAATAGGGCTTTTGCTCCCCTCCCTCCTCTTTTCCCATGAAGCGGGGAGGGTGGCTGGGGATGCCAGGGCTCCCTGCCCCAAGCAGGCAGGTCCAAGGGAACGCTGGGGAGGGGCAGCAGGGAGCAGCTTCCGGGTAGGGCAAGCGTGTTCCCCCCCACAGCAGGCTGCCCACCCTGCCCCCAGGAGGCCACCAGGCTCCGGGACAGCCAGCGCCCCAGCCCAAACCCAGGGCCCGCATTCGCCAAGCTCTGCTGTGACCGGTCCGTGCCGGGTGTAGAGTGCGGGGCAGCAGTCAGGGAGACTGCCCGCCTCGGGGAGCCCCTTAGGCAGGGAAGGGAGCCAGGCTCCCACGGACCGAGGGACCCCTTCGGTCACCACGTGACACTCAGCGTCACAGGTGAGCCCGAGGCAGTGGCTGCTGTGCGTTGGCTCCAAGGGCACCACACCCAACTCGGGCAGCAGGGACTGGCATCAGCCACCCTCACGTTCTGTCACCAGTAGCTCCCCCATGTGACTTAGGATGGTTGCACCCAGAAGATGTTGAGTCTAGGATTGGTGTGGGTTGGGCAGACCTCAGTTTTCAGGTCTCAGATCTGGAGGCCAAGGTTCTGAGAGAAACAGGGGACAAGGGAGGGAAGAGCGAGCCCTGACACACCTGCCCTCGGCCCCGCTGGCCTCCTGGTCTGTGAGGAGGCCCAGCTCCTCCCGAGTCCACACCTGGAATGGACACGAGCCCTCTCCCTCCCTCCGGCCCTGGAGGCTGAGTTGGGTGAGAGCCCAAGATGAGCAGTGGGGAGTGACAGCCTCCTGGGGCTGCCCCCCACCTCCCCTGCCACCTGGCAGTCCCGGAAGAGAGGGAAGGGGAGGAAGATTCGGGCAGACTGGTGGGTGCC